AGCAGGATCGTCGGACCCGGTAGCAGACTGATGTGACCTCGTGTTTAGAGAAACCGCTGGGGAGGGTGTCAGTTGGCGTAACGTGGTTCGTTGCCGCCATGGAGGAGGAGGAGGGAGAGGCAGAGGACGAAAAGAGGGATAGGGAGGCTGCTGCTTTTGGAGAGCCGTGGGTATCGCCGTTCTCGGATTGGGACTGGCGAAATGCCAGAAGGTGACAGCTCCTGTCAGACAAGAGAGCTTCGGGCGTTGCCGTTATGTCGCGTACCAAGTCATCCGTGTCAATGCTCAACGGCTGGAGAAGAGAAGAGGAATGACCGCCAACGGTGGTGAGATCATGGAGTTCGTCCATTTTAGACGCGGCGGCCTGGTCCAGTCCAAATGCGGGCAGCGACTAAACAGGAAAAGGTAGAAAAGTAACTCCGAATGCTCGCCTGCGGGTATGACAAATTGAAATAGATTCCTTCTGGACAGCCTTAATTTTGGGTTGTGGTATTAAAAAAACACCGACATGCACCGCAGCAATCGGGGTAGAGTAATGAACTATTATTGGAGTATTTTTCAGGAGGATAGATGATAAGGGAGTGTTAATAGTCATTTGCGACGCTACGACGACGCCCTAAAGTTAGTCTCTTTTTGAAAAAAAAACGCGCATTATTTTGAACCAAAGTCACATAACTATCTCTGATTAATTATTTCACACAAAGAATCGAAATTTAGGACCAAATAAATCCGCAGAAAAAAAAGTAGTTTTGACTTTCCGAAAACAACAAAAAACGCGCTTAAGAGTGATCAGTTTGGAAGAAAGACACAGGGCCTTCGGGTCCACACTTCTCCGTAGACGGCGGGAACGCGTAAGCCTCCGTAAGTTTGGATGACCCAAGCCAAGCGAGGCAGGTCGCGTGCGGCCATCGGAGTATTAAAAAAAGTAAACTGCGCAAATTCACATCAATACAAATATGAGGAGTGAGCAAGTTTCGCGCCAAAGTGGTCTGTGTTAGGTGGTGAGAGGCAAAGAAAGTGTAAAAGTCGCTTGCGAGCGAGCAACCAGTTTATTGACAGTGTATCCAGGGCTGCCATAATAACTTCCAGTATCAGCTGGGCAGGCCGTTGACGCAAGGTTAGACGTAAGGTTGTGGGGAAATGCATCATAACAGTCCAACGTAGTTCAGTCTCGACCGAATCGATTACAGTGAATGGCATGTGAACATAGGTGTAGGAGCTCTCAAAAGCAGCGGCAGCCCCCCCCCGCTCCTCCCCTCGCAATAGAGGTGAGCTAAGTGCTAAATTGTAGGAAAGGTAAATATCTCTATGACCTAGTCCCTAACCTCAACACTAACCCGAATGTCCCCTTAATTTTGCGCAAAAACGGTCCTTTTCTA